ATAGGGTTTGAAAGGAATACTAAATATATTTCCTGGGAATTTTACAATGCCTAGATAAGTACCAAAGCTGTGATAAACAATCAGCTATTGAGACAATTTACACCCAACCCCAAATCCTAAAATCCTCCATAGGCGATAACAGTTTTGGTTTCAAATCTGAAAAGACTTTCGAGTTTTTATGAAATACTCCAGAAAAACACATTTCCGACAGCGGTAAATATTTGGGCGCATTATTATCAATATTGGCAAACGTAAAAGCATTTGTTATTTTGCATTTGGCCAAGTCACGAGTTAGCCATGTGACTTCAGTACAGGCCGACTGATAAACCCCCCGTATTCTTATCTGTGAGATACTCGAAGTGCTGCTGTTCTGGAAGGAAATTTGTTCAGTGATTCGATTCGGTATTGTGAAAGTTGATAATGTCGCCACTCCAGATGGGCCAAAACGCGATTTACATATGGCCAAGTTTGGAGGACTGGGCCGGCAACGGGGAAAACCTGAGCAGAACTTGTTATGCATACGGATAGCTTGGCTTCAAATGAGGCGTTATGTAAATGGTCTCTGCTTTTCCATTTATTTAAGCTTAGTTTTTGTGACTAGATTTGTCCAAATATGGAACGCCTACGCCCTCAAAGAAAAAAAAAAACTGAAGCGAAGAATCGTCGGATTCGGATTCGGATTTTGTCGAAAAACTTGATTATGCCAGCCAGTCTGCTGCAGAGTCTGTAAAAAATACAAAAACAAGACAAATTTTCGCCATATATGGGGTATTGTAACGCTGATTTATGGCGACGACTCGTCTGCCTCGTCTTCAATGAACTGAAGAAACTGAAAAATAAAAAATGTAAAATGAAAAATGAAAAAATTCAACGCAAGTCGGTTGTAAAAATTGCATGCTAACCATTTCGATCGAAAATATATGTGTAGGCAAAAAGTGAAAATGTGTCCGCCGCACGTTCAGGTACATCTATAAGTGTATATATATTTAATTTGCTGCGATTGCAAAGTCAGGGCTGTGCAAAGACAGTCATTGTGTTTGCAGGCGCAAAGGCAGAGGGGCAGCGCTGCCGCTGTCGACGCAGCTGCCAGCGCCATTGGCAGACGGCGGCAGACCTCCATTTCCATTCATTATAATCGTTCATTTCATTCATAAAAAAGACGAAGCGAAACGAAACGAAGCGAAGGCGAAGGCAACCGACACAGCCGTCGACCGCTGGCGAATGTATCTCTGCGGGAGTGTTGGTGAGCGAATGTATCTGTATCTGTTGCCTCGAATGCGAATTCGCCGCTGCGAGAGAGCTAGCGAGAGCCAGTGAAACGCGGCGAAACGCTCTATACCATGCCAAAGAGTTGAGATTGAGATATTTTTCTGTTGGAGAGGAAATTTGCATGGCACACGTATCTGTATCCGTAGCTGTATCTGTATCTGTATCTGTAGCTGTATCTGTATCTGTGGGATGTGTGCGCTGCCTATTTGGAATATGCCATTTATTTATTTTGTATTCTGTGCCAGCCAGTCAGCCAGCCAGCGAGCGATACTACGGCCCCATAGTAACTGCTTACAAACATCCACTTCCCCTTTTGGAAAGTTCATGCTAATCTGCGGATCCCCCACCCCATTTCCCATTCGTTCTATGTGGCTCCTCCGGTTGATTATCTTCGTTTACTCCCGCTTCGAGGCTTGGCTCTGGCTTATTAGACAATACCGCCCCCTCCCCCTCCGTCAGGCCCTCCCCCACACAGATACAGCCTCGCCACTACACTTCAAGTCTGTGCTATTGTTGCCGCATTTTTTTGTTTTATTTTTTTTATATTTTTTTTTTGTTGGGGCTCTGCCGAGAAAAGTGCTACTGGTTTTGAGATTTCGAGCCCAGAGTTGCCGAGCTTGGAAACCGCACGCGCCGCTCAGTCGTGTATCTTTTTTATGGCTTTTTGAGGCAACTCTGCTCTCAGCATCACAAAAAAATGAAAAAAAATGCTGGGGAAACTGTGTGTTTGTTTTTAAAAAATCATTTAAATTTTTTTGAATTTCTGGCCACACTAGGAATGCATTAATTGGCACTTTGGTCACACCTGAATAAATACTCACATGTTTCAAATTCAAAAACAATGAAAAGAAAACAAATACACTGGAAGAAAATGGTACTCCACTATCACCCCTCCTTCCCCCCTTCCAGGGTGTGCGTAATTTTCATTCATATTGTCAGCCAACGCGACGCAGCCGACTGCGCAGCAACAGAGTCTTGGGCAGCACACTAGAAATGTTGTTGTTTTCTTTCCCGAAGCATCGTATTTTCCTGGGGAGGAGGTGTGGTATGCAGTTGTTGTTGCCACAGATTTTCGGGAAAACAGGCAAGAGGAAAATTTCATTGAGAGAAAAAAGTTGGATGTGGAAAATAAGACGGCATGGGACAGGGGCAGGGGATGGGGCAGGTCTGGTCTATAGACCGGGCAGATACGATCCGAGGTGATTGGCAAATTGGCGACGAGGAAAATTACCAAGTTTATGCACGCAACGGCCGGAAAAGCGAAAAAAGGAAAGCAACAACAGCCAAAGCACACCCATTCGTGGAAAACTTGTTCGTATTGGGATCGGGGACTGTTGGGGCATTGGGGACTTGGGCTGCGCCGCGTAGGCAAGCCAGATGTTAACCCTTCTGTGGCCCCAAAAAAATTATAGTCAGAACAAAAATATATATTTTAGAGCTTAAAATATTTAGAACTATTTGTAATTTATTTAAAAATTTCGAAAAAAAAAATTACTGAAAAGTGTCACTAGTTTTATGGGTTAATGGTGGCGGGGGGGCTGGCACATTGCAGGGGGCCCAGCTGTCGCTTGGCAGTGCTGTTATTGTTGTTACCTTTGTCTTTGCTTTTTGGCTTTTCTCTCGCTCTGTCTTTGCTGTTGTTTGTTTGCGTTGCGAGCTGTGCGCTGTTTGCATTTAAATTTAAATGAATGAAAAAGAAACTGGCATGAATTCGCCTCGACCCCGCTCCGCCGGCCCCCCGCCTGCTTGGCTCGGCTCGGTTCGGACGCCCCCACCACCCCAGCCCCCAGCGAGTGCGCCTACAAGTTGGCATATTTTCAATTTCCGTTTTTACACAGACACAGATACGCACCAATACGAACGAAAGCTCAAGAGAGAGCCCCCCAAGAGGTGTGTGGTGAGGGGGCGGCGGGCGCCGATGGGGGGATAGGGTGGGCAAGGGGCCGTTGGAGGCGAGGGGCGGCAACGTCCGGTTGGTTTTTGGTTCGAAAACTCGCCGCTGTTGCTCGCTCTCCCTCTCTCTCGCGCTCGCTTCTGGGTGGGGGCTTTCCGAGGGGGGCCTGGGGGCGATGGGGGGCTGCTGGTGGGTAAGGCCGTTCGTCGCCAGCCATGTGCCTTTACATTTATATTTCTATTTTATTCTGTTGTAGCTGCTGTAATACATTCCAATTCGCTGCAGCTTGGCTCTCTTTGAGTGCTTCGTGGCTCTCTCCGAAGACCGTGTGTGTGTGTGTGTGTTGAATTCGCCGCTCTGCTAAGGCCGCATTTCCTGTGCTCCAAGGGGGCCATATTTTAGCTGCCTTAACTAAGCCTTCGACTAGTTGGATTTTAGCAAAGTAACTAAAGATTATTTTGTAAAAATAAAGGCGTAAAGTATTCAAAAAACCACCGGGAGCAGCTCTGAAAACGCCCATTCAGCACTGGCTCCCACACACACACTCGCACACACCCTCACACTGACAGAGCCATAAAATTAAGTCACACACACACACAGGGCTTGAGAATGAAAAATTTGTTCAATTAAAAAAAACGACAAGAGCGATGTGGCCAGAGAACTGAACGATCGCCGGCCGAATTCGCCGCTCTCTTGAGCTCTCGCCGTGAGGCGTCGGACAGCTCGCGGTGAGTCAACAGGGTCGTAACAGGGTGGTAACAGCGCCTTAACAGCTAGCCGCAGCGAATGTATCTCGACTCATTTCGCTTCAAAACCTCGTGCCGAGCGGTTGCCGCGATTTTGCCGCGTCTCGTTTTCTTTCGGATTTTGGATTTTGGATTTTGGATTTCCTCAAGCCAGCCACTCACTCTGCACAATTTTTTTTCGAATTTCGAACAACAATCATAGCAAGTTGCAGCCGAGCTTAAACAATTCTAAATCGCGCCAACCGATTACCAACGAAATCGTTATAGTTCTGTGCCACACCAACACCACACACGCCACAGCGCATTAAGTGAGAGTTACAGTTTGTGTTTGAGAAAGAAATTATTTTGTGAAAATATTTACAAATCGCTTCCAATGGAAATCATGTGCCTAAAAATGCAAATTGCGCAAAGAAAATCAACGTCTATTTAAAAAGTCCAACCAACAGCAGCAGCACCAGCACCAGTCGACGAAAATATAATTCAAATACAAAACGTGTTGAGAAAAAGTAAAAAAAAAAAATAATAATAAATACAAAACAAACAAAAGAAGCAGTAGCAGTAGCAGCAGCAGCAGCAGCCACCGCAGCAGCAACACACAAATATTTTTATACATATATATATATAAAAATTGCATAAAAATATTTTTTACTCCGCCAAACACACCGAACCAAGAGACACACTCATACAGACACGCGAATCGGAACGGAGCCGCAGCGACCAGATACATAGATACATTCGCCGCACACCGACAGGCGACGACGTGGCCCCCGCTTTAGCAGTGTGCGTTTGTGCGCCAGCGTCTCAGCCAGCAGCGTAGTCAGCGCCGCTGCCCCACGGACGGTCAGACGGATCCGTTCAATATTATTATTTTTTTGGCACGCCAGCCTCAAAAATAATAATACGAGATACAGCCAGAACCATCGCCAGTTGAGTAAAATAATAACAAAATCAAACATAGTCGTCGAACCTCAGCAGCAGCAGCCGTAGCAGTCGCAGTCGACGTCTCTGTCTCTGTCGGCGGTCAACGCGTTTTTGTGTTAATTAAATTTACTTTTGTGAATGAAATGCGAAAAAAGCAAAGCGAAAAATCATTTTTAATAAATGCTAAATAAATACACACACACAGACGAGCATATATGTATATATACCCGATATATATATGCCTGTATATGCCGTCGAGCCGCGATCGCGAGTAAGATAGCAAGAAAATCGAGAAAAGAAAATCCTGAGACCGCAAACCACTAAAAGAATAAAATTATAAACCAAATCCGAACCAGACGAAGTGCCCCAAAAATCAATAACAAACCAGTTCAACCTCCCCTTTGGATTAAAAAAAAACATATATCTTTTGGATACAAACAGAACCAGAAGGATTATACAACCGCACCACCAGCATATATGGTGAATAATAGCGGAATTTGTTTCACGGATTGCTTTTGAAACTCAATGTAAGTTGACCTCCGCCTGCGATAGATACATAGATACATAGATACGTAGATACAAATTGTGCAATTTCAGTTAATTTCAATGCGCTCACGTTCGGCGGCTAACCTTCAGCTGAACAGAGTGAGATAGTACATGTATATAGTCAGGAAATGCACAATTCTTAGATGGAAATAATTGGTACTATATGCAATATGCTATTCCAAGCGAAAATATCTGATTAATTTATGACTGCGTCGTGACAAGTGCTAAGGGGTGGCAGGGAGGCATTCTCGGATAGATGCAGGAAGAGATATAGGCTAATCCATTAAATCTGGTAAACAGGAATACTAATATTCCAGATGAGTACTTCCATGCTGGCAATTCATCAATCCCCATCCTGTTTTCGTCGCTGCCCTCTAGAATTTCATTGAAGAAAACAAAAAGGTCTATAGATAGAACGCTTTGATCTCGTCTGAGGGGCTAAAAATAAACATGTTGACGATTATATTTTATACACGAATACATTAACTGTCAAAGTAAAATCAAATAAATTTTCCTGTTTTTTTTCCACATTCGGATTCGATTTGAACGAAATGTTTAACTGACATTTCAAGTTGTTTGTTTGTCTGGCCTCGCCCCCTGCCTCTCCACTCCGCTGCCTCTCCACCGATCGGACCAGACAGATAATCCCCCGGCCATACTGGCCACTCACACTCCCAAAACGAATATGTAGTATAATATTTTATTGATTATAAATTGCTCTCTGCCGATTCGCGAGATCGGAGAAATTCTAGAATGCGAATGCGAAAACCTTATAAAGTTGCTTCATTGTTGCCCGCGATCGTCCAATCGTCCGATCGGATCGATCAACCCGCTTCACAGAGAATTCCATTCACAAATCAGTCGCCCGATGGCTGGCTGGTCCGGACCCGGACTGACTTGGCTAAACCCTTCTAATCAGTTTTCCAGCACTTTGTTTTTCTCTATTTTGTATTTTTTGTAGTTTTGTATTTTTGTGTGGCAAACCTTTGGACACTTGAGAGTGTTTTTCTACTCTATTTTTGTGTGTTTAATCTAGGCAGGAGGAGTGTTTCGTCATCGATACGTTTTTATACATTTTTTCGGGTTTCGGGTTTATTTTCTTCTGTTGTGGTGTGACTCGATAAGACCCCCAGGTCTTATGTCTGCCTTACTTTCTTGACTTTACCTCTGCCTTTGCTTTTCTGCCTTTTTTTTCTTCTGATTTTGCTTTCTTTTCACGCTGCTGACACACGCTTAAAATATCAACGGCCAGAAATTGATAAACGAACGAAAAATATTTAAGTTTATTTACTTTTTGCTCGCTGTTAATTTTTGGGGCTAACGGAAACGCCTTGCTGGGCCCCCAAACCCCCTACCCCCCGAAAACCAAAGTCAGAATAAATAAAAAGAGGCGTAAAAACTTTTCAACCGATAAGTCCCCCGAGAAGTAACATATTTTGATCGATGGTCTCGCCCTGGTTGGGCCCTTTTTTCGGTCAGACTGGCCCTAATCTCGGCCAGACTGCTAACCAGCTTTTAACAATTTTAACGTAAAAGTGGCCTAAGAGTTAAGTGGCCTCGGCGGGTTGCGTTGCGAATTTATGTCATAGCCAAAAATACGCGATACGCCGCCGCTGCTACGTTTCATTCATAATGGAAGGAAACCGCGCCACCTATCCCGCTGCCAAAACATGTGCACATATATAAATAAATAAATTAAATGCTTAATTTTTATTAGCTAAATAAACAGCCAGCACAGCCCCGAACACAGCAGAGCACAAGATCCCACAATGACGTTGATGACGCAGACGCCGAAAAGATAGATGGATGGGGAAGTCGTGAAGGTTTTTTTCATACAATTTCTATTCGAAATGTTGGGAGCTCTGCTCCGAATGTGGATCACTCCCCTCGGTGCTTCCTCCCACCTGATTTATAGCCCACCTTGTTGTTCAGTTACGCCAATAGGTGTAGTACTCTCGGCGTTATTTCGGCTACAATATATATCGAGAATAGCCTGGCCAAGTTGCATGGCTAAAATAAAATTAGCCAAACAAACCGCCAAGCCAAAATGACAGCAAATTAATTGCATTCGCAAACTAAAAATAGATAATCACGAAACTGTTACCAAAATGTAATGCCTGCCATACACATACCATAACACACTAGAGGATACAGAATGGGTATCTATAGGATATACACACTGACGACAACAGCCGACGACATAATTCAAGGAGGTGGATGGATGGACGGGGGCAGAATATATAGAGTATTCATCAAAAGTCCGTACATCAGGCGAAATTTTCACCCCATGTGACATTTACTGAACTCGAAACAGAAACCAAACGAAAAAAAAAAAAATAAAATAAAACTAACCGCACGCTTCAATGGGATTCGGTTGAGATTTCAGATATGCTATATAGATAGGCGGCATGGCATGGCATGGGAGGGTATGGCATATATAGTAAAGTATCTATAAGATACTCGTACTGAACGTACTGCTCGGTTGACGACTGCAAGTGTGTTGGTGCTGCCAGCAAAGCAAAACGCCAAATGACAGCCCAACAAGAACTGAACTCGGCCCAACCGAATAACCAAAAACAACATTTTATGCCGCAAGCAAACATGTGATTTTCATTATTTTTGTCGTCTCACCGCACCGCCAACAACAACAACAACAACAAAAATGGCCTTTTTATTTTTGAAAATTATAATTTTTAAAAATAAACCCCATCAACATCACAACACTTGCTTTTGTGTTTGCTTTTTTCATGCCTTTTTTTTTTTTGGTTGACAATTGCAGTTGAAAGAGTTAACTTATAGAGGTTTTTTAAGGGGGTTTTTAGAGGTTTTAAGCCTTAATTTTAAAAAGAAAAGAATATTTCATAGTTTTAGTATTTAAATGTGATTTAAAATTAAGAAATTCAAAAGAACTTCAAGGAGAAAAAAGCAAAGCAAGGCGAGAAAATGCAAGGTTAGGTTAAGGCTCGAAACTTTTAAGATAGAAACCCTTTATGGATTTAAAAATTCTATTTTTAGAAGCCCTCTCTATAAATCTCAGAAACTATAACTATAAATAGTATTTTTTCCATCCCGATATCAATTACCATACACGTGTAGTTCTGTGATAAGTTGCCTAAGCCCTGCTTCATGGCCTCCAGTTGGTGGAGAGGCTTCCCTGGCAAATCTCGTCCATTAGCAAACTAAGACAACACAACTGCCCGCCCACTTCCTTCCCATTGTTGTTGGCTTAGTTCGATGCCCATGGAGGGGATTCTCGATTTCGGCAGTAGTCTTCAGACCACCCAGGAGGCTTCGAGGTTCGAGCAACGCATACAAAACGCTCATTAATCGAGCGTCTTTAGAAATGGCCCAAAACACACAACCACGTTTGCACGTCTATTTATATACTTGTATGACTATATATATATATCTCTGCCGGTATATACATATATATATGTTCATGCCCTGCCAGCAAAAACAAATCGTCGGGCTATAGAATTGTCGTCAATGAATAGCTGACGACGACAACATAATAAACATGATAGAGACTACGCCGATGGTGTGGTGGCAGTAGCATACTTGCAGATAAAGTGAGCAAAAATGTAAGCAGAGGTGTTGCTTTAAAGGGGGGCTACTGGAGGAACTACTTCTTTGAATGGGATTTGTAATGCAATTGCCTGGGCGTGACCTCAGCCGTGGAGAAGCAGGTGGCAACTTGGACACGTCCGGACGAATGTGATATGTGAGCTTTCTTCTCCCTTTGGGTTCTTCAGAGAGTCACTGTCACTTCATATGGAAAGAGTGCACTGGAAACAAAGACTAGCAAGATATATCCCTAGAATCTATATCCTAAATTTAGAAAATAAAATATTTTCCATTCTTCCATTCTTGCTTCCAAGCTGGATCAGAAATAGCCATCCTAGCGTGGGTCAGGACTCTATGTGTGTACGAGCGTAGGTGACCTCAAGACAGGCCCACGCAGCCTTCCCTGAAATCCCTGAAGAGTGGGCGTGCTCCCCTGACTACGCCCCTGCCTCCGACTAAACACTTGAAGCGTCAGTGCTTCAGTCTATCTTATCTGCCGGTTACACAGTTTACAGTTTACAGGTGGGGGCAGGTGGTGGTACCTCCCAGGGGGGGTATGTAGGGGGCCTGTGTGTGGCTTTCCGCTTCTGCCTTTTCTTTTTCTTTCTATATATATTTTTTTTTCTTTTTGGGAGGGTTCACTGGAAATTCGGCGAGCTAAAAATAGAATTCGGTTGCCACGCTTCAAAGAGAATTAGGAGCGAAGCAGACGAGTCAAGTGCGTGTGAGTGTGTATCTGTGTGGCTTTTGTGGGGGCGCGTGGGCCTGGGCGCTCTGTCGTGGGGGGGTGTGTTCGTGACACGACCATCACGTGGGAAGATCACAGAGGAAATAAGTGTAGCCTATTTTTGAGCTGCCAATTAGGAGCAAGAATGCAATGAGAGTAAAATGTTTTTTAAGAACCGATTATAAGTTATAGCGAAGTTCAAATATTAAACCATCTCTAGGGCCTTGGAAGCAAACTTTCCTTCCAAGTCACGCACTTTGGCTTTGTCTTCGCGCCTGTGGGTCTATCCGTGAGAGAGCTTCTCCCTGAGAGTCTATGTGTGTGTGTGTGTGTGAGGGGGTGGATGGGCTGCTGGTGTCTGAATCAGATTGTGTTTGTGTTGTACATTAGGGCGGGTCAGGTTGTTTACACTGCCTGTCCCTTGGCGGAGCTCTTTTTGGGGGCTTTCTGGGGGTTGCTCTCTGGGCCTACGGGAACAGTTGTTGCTGGGGACCCAGTTGTTGTTGCTATTTTGGGGCAAGGACTCTATAAATAGGCAAGTCACTTGGTGTATGTGTGTGTTGGCAGGAAAATTTATTTAGGTACGAAAGACAGGACAGACCCAGAGACAGACAACCTGGCATTTTCTGCGAGGGTGTCTGTAGGTGTGTATGTGTGTGTGCGTTTCATTGACGTCATCACCAGCATGTC